TATATATATATATATATATATATATATATATATATATATATATATATATATGTATATTCTCATCAAACAATTTTATTCAAAATTTGCCTTGGCTATTCCGTTCATAAATTAGACAAAATTGTCTAACTTACTTCACGAAGTGCACCAACGAGAAGGTAAGCCATAGGAATTTGTATTCCATCAGTGAGCTCTTATGTTAACCCTTCTTTTCTGGATTCTTTCCTTTATTTAATAGGTAGTTCATTTAAAAGTAATAGTAATTGTGCATAAAGCTTTTTTTTGTTATTTTAATTTTAATATCTATAATAATGTGCAGTTTTTTGAGATAAAAATATGGATATATATTATAAAAATATTTTTAAATTAAACAAAATTGGTACATATAAACATATCAGGTATGATTCATACCATTTATAGAGATAAAAGCCAATATACTCAAATGCAGTAAAAACAAATAATTGGAACATAATAGTAAAAGAAATGAGATTAATACATACTTTTAAATTTTTATTAAATAAAATTAACAGTGACGGATCTAGGTGGGAGGGGGGGACGGGGGTTAGGGGTATGCATCTCTCCCCACCCGACCCACCAGAAAACAAATACCCTGAAATAATTGAAATATTGAAAATATTGAAATAATCTGCGCTCTTGATCTTAAATTCTTACATATAAGAAATGCATGTTTCATTAATTTTTTTTTCACTTTGATTTAACCATACAAAAAAGATACCATTGCGCCGCACAATTTTACTTTCTGATAATTTTTTTTTTTTTTCGTACTCAAAAACTTTAGAAAATATTTAAATTTTAAGGTGAGTTTAAACAATATCATATATATATATATATATATATATATATATATATATATATATATATATATATATATATATATATATATATATATATATATATATATATATATATATATATATATATATATATATATATATATATATATATATATATATTTTGATCTAATAAAAGAAAAAAGGTTGCTTCCCCATGTCAATCCCTCAGTCGATGTAGCAGCACTTCCTTGTAGCAGCAGGCTATAAGATAATTTATATATATAATATATATATATATATATATATATATATATATATATATATATATATATATATATATATATATATATATATATATATATATATATATATATATATATAAATGCGATTCGAGATTGAGATTACCATGAGCAAAGAACGACCGCTGAAGAAACCTAGGTTTTTCATTACGGATTTTTTGATTAAAAAACTTCCTATTTGTTTCGATGATACACTTTGTACTTCTGTAGCTTTACCCGTATTTGGTTGCAGGATTAATAAACCTTTTGAACCAACTGACGTCCTCTCGCAATCTCTTACTTGTACACCTATTCAAATAATGTTAACAGAAACCGATAACGAGGCATACAAAGATAGTTATCATACAGCCAGTAATGATATTGATTGTGTTTTTTTTGGGTGACGTAAGAAATATTGAATACGTGAAAAAAACTCAATGATTTAGAAAAAAAAAAAAATTGATGACGGATTCTTATTTCAAATATCCATATACAATGAAGGGTGGAAAGAACCCGCAGAAGGTATACCTTGGTCTCCAACACTTATCTGGTGGAAGTTATTCTAGCTTTAAATTTTCTCCATTTTTGAATGGTCTTCTTTGTGTCACTTGTGTTTTATTTGCCAATGAAGCAAGTAAAAATAATCATAGCGAGGCTACAAAACTGGTACAATTAGTTAACAAACCGCTTAGAAAATACAGTCATTTGACAGGAAATGATGGACAATTGACCATTTAATATCACAAAAATTCTGTTGTGTTTAGTGATCATTTTTTACTATCAATGAATTCAGATACAAATATAAAAATTATGCTAAATGAAAAGTACGAAGCGGAAGTAAAAGAATCACGCGAAAGTTTGGTGCCGATTATTAAAACTGTTATCCTTTGCGGTAGACTAGGGATTGAAACAAATGATGGACTTATAAAGGCAGATAGAAACTTCAAATCACTGTTGGCTTATCGGGTTGATGCTGGAGACAAAGTTTTAGAACACCATTTAAAAAGTTCAGGAAAAAATGCAACATATATTTCAAAAACGGTTCAAAATGAACTAATAGACATTTGTGGTCAAATTATAACAGAAAAAATAATTAAAGAGGCTAAAATTGCTAAGTACTTTTCAGTGATTGCAGATGAAACGACTGATGTTTCTCATCACGAGCAGTTATCTGTATGCATTCGTTTTGTGTGTTTGATAAATGGTTTTCATACAACCAGAGAAGAATTTTTAAACTTTAAGAAAGCTAATGATGTTAGTGGTAAAGGGTTAGGTGAACTAATTATTCAAACTCTGAAAAGACATAGTCTCGACCTTTCTTACTTAGTAGGTCAAGGTTATGATGGCGCATCATCCATGTCTGGTTGTTATAATGGTGTCCATGAGCACGTAAGACAGGTGGCTCCATCCATTATTGCAAACACTCAATAACGATCTCATTGGTGCATTAAATGCCATAAATTTTGTGAAATAGTCACTTTTAGCATGACGCTGTGATGAGAATGAAGTATGGATGAATGCTGATTTTGGCATTCATCCATACTTCATTCAACAACTCTAATTATTTAGCAAATTCTTTAAATATAGTCTTAGTGACTCCTCGTGTCGTGTGTAGGCAATTGCATAGAAACAACATCCCTGCTGAAAATGCACGCCAATATTATAAAAGAGCAATTTGGTTTCCGTACCTAGATTCAGTGATTCAATCTATAGATGCACGGTTTTCAAACCAACAGCAACTAGTTATGAAAATGTCTGCTTTGTTACCATCAGTGATTTCTAAACATAGTTGGACTGATGTGGTTGAAACTGTAAGAATGTTTTCTTCTGTAATTGGGTATCGAGATGAGGAAATTATTCATAATAAATATTTTGAGTTAAAAGAATTTTGCTCACATATTTAAAGCCATCCTTCAACTTTTTTACCAGCTTTAGATCTAATTCATGATAGGTATAATTTATAAAAAGAAATACTATATCAGTTTAAATTTCTGTTGCTTATTAACTTACTCTGTTAATTTTATTTTATAGATTGGCAACCATCAAGACACTTCTTTGGATTTTCTCTACCATTCCAATCACAACATGTACAGCTGAACGGAGCTTTAGCACTATGAATATTTTAAAAAGTCTTTTGCGTAACCGAAGCAATGATGAGCATTTAACTGGCTTGGCATTATTATATATTTATAATACCATGCCTTTAGAAGTAAACGACGTAATTGATAGATTTGTAGCTAATAAGAAGAGTCGCTTAGATTTTGCATTGTAGATTTTATACTTAATTTATTTTTTAAAAAAAAACTCTATTAGTCTATAAATAAATGTGAAATTATTTCTCGAGGAAATGTAATTATCTATATAAGAACTCCCCGTAGTTCAACTCCAATACTATCAGTCGATATCTTTTTATTTGTAGTTTCCAAAAAAGTTACGCTAACTAGTTTTGGCATCAACATCCCCCCCCCCCCCCCACTAAAAGTCTTGGATCCGTCACTGAAAATTACCTCATAATCTTAGTTAAAAAGAATAAGATCACCTTTTTCAAAACCAGTTAATAAAAGAAATGACCATACTTCATCAGGTTTGTTATCATACTGAACAAGGTATCTGGTTCATTTAGAGTTTAGTTGATCAATTTGGAACACATACGCACATTCCCAAGATACTTCAAGAATCTTCTCTAACATGATGTTGTATATAAAAACCTAAAAAATCAGATGAATTGTTAATAAATTTTGATAAACAGTGTTTTTTTTTGTTGCTCTATTAATTTGTTTAGTCTTGCATCCTGAATTTTTCCAATAATCTTTTTTTTTTTCTTTTAACAGCTGCATCACATATTATACGAGGCTTTAAATTATTACTTATAATACTTAAAGATTTTTTGTTTAGTGTTAAATTTGCTTAAATGACAATATGGAGATTTTGATAAAATTCCTCAGAAGACATGTTTATTTTTTTGCTGTTGTTATTTTAAATTTAATGTTGTTGTTGCTAATCAATTAAATTACTGATAGGTTAGCAACAACAACATCAACAACATAAAAAATAAACCCACTTTAGAATGCTGTAAGTAAAAATTTGTAATAAAATCTCAGGTATATAAAAATAAAAATCATGTGTTAAAATGTATAAAAAAATCTTTAGATGCTTTAAATGTAAAACGGTAAACTTACTTTATCAAGTTTTGATTGCACTCGAAAATGTATAAAGACGAGGGAAATTTAAAAAATCTCGACTTAGAAAACAAAAAACCCACCCTAATAAACTACAAAGAAAAACACCAAAACTTATTCACTTATCAAATAAATAGTTGCAGAATCTATTTTTATGTGGGGACGAAAGAATATCTTAATTTACTGGATTTTTTTTTTTACCATTTATAACTAAACTTGTATTCATTCAAAAATTTCAAATTTCAAGCAAAATTCTTCAAGTCTTCGATTTTTATGACCCTGCAAAGTTTACAGCCTCATCAAATTGAGAAAGTTCAAGCTATTGTCATAGTTTTCGAACACCAAGAAATTATTGTATAAAGTTTAAAATTTGTCAATGAATATAAATTTAGTTATAAATAGTAAAAATTTTTTTTTTTATAAACTCGATGCGCTCACGTTTAGGGCAAGGGGGTGGGCAAAAAGTTTAGGACTTTATTTGTTCCCAGGCTTTATTAGTCAGACTCATCCCAATTTTTTACAAGTGTTCCTTATTTGAAATAAGCATAAACTTATAATGTCAAACAACAAAAAAAGCTTGCTACGGTTCTGAACTTAGTTATATATATATATATATATATATATATATATATATATATATATATATATATATATATATATATATATATATATATATATATATATATATATATATATATATATATATATATATATATATATATATATATATTCTTTTATGTAGTGCTGTATTAAAATAATACAAAACTCTTGTGCGTTGAAAAGTATTCAATAATTAGGAAATTTATATTGATTTTATGTAAGTTTCAAAACAGAGCGGTTTATAATTAAAAACGAAAAAGAAAAAACTTTTATAATGTAACTTTAAGTTTCAAGCTTAACTGATAATTCGATGTCACTATGGGGACTTTTGATAGCGTGGAGATTTGCGAATTAGCTAGGATTTTTATTTTGCATCAAATCTCGCAGTTTTATGATAAAAACAATTTCGGTATATATTGAGATGATGCATTAGCTATGTTTAGGAACAAAAGTGGTCAAGATATGGAGAAGATAAAGAAACATTTTGTACAAATTTTTAAAAATAACAACCTTATTATCTCTATCAAATGTAATTTGATAGAGATAATAATATCTCGATTTAACACTAAACCTTAACAACATTTTTTTTTCAGCCATACCGCAAACCAGATAATATACTAAATAATATCCATATTAGTTCTAATCATCCACCGAGTGTAATAAAAAGTATTCCTAAGACTATTGAATTAAGATTTTCAGCAGCATCGCCAAGTAAATCGATTTTTAAAAAAAGTATTCCTCCTTTTCAAGAAGCCTTGAAAAAATCAGGGTATAATTGTGAACTTGCATACCATCCAAGTATAAAATCAACAAACGGCAATTATAAACACAAGATAGTTTGGTATAATCCTCTTTTGAGTGCAAATGTTGTAACAAAAATAGGTAAATGTTTTTTGAATCTTATAGACCTCTACTTTTCAGTTAACCTCAGACTTTGTAAAATATTGATTAGAAACACAATCAAAGTAAGTTATTCCTGCATGCCAAACATAAAATCCATTATCAACTCTCACAATAAAAGCATTTTAAATAAGGAGGCAAAAACTAATGAAATAAAATGCAACTGCATTGACAAATCTAAATGTCCAATGAACAACCATTACCTTTCCAACAACATTGTTTATCAGGCCACCATTCTATTCAAACAATCCGGAATATAAAAAAAAATGTATTTTGGACTCGACAAAACATCTTTTAAAGTTTGGTATGCAAACCACTTAAAATCGTTTAATACAATTAGATATAAGAATGATACCGAGTTATCAAAAGAAGTATGGAAATTAAAAGAAAAAAACTTTATACCTTTTGTCAGATGGAAGATTGTTCAACAATGCAAACCATACTATATATATATATATATATATATATATATATATATATATATATATATATATATATATATATATATATATATATATATATATATATATGTGTGTGTGTGTGTGTGTGTGTGTGTGTGTGTGTGTGTGTGTGTGTGTGTGTGTGTGTGTGTGTGTGTGTGTGTGTGTGTGTGTGTGTGTGCGTGTGTTTGTGTGTGTGTGTTTGTGTGTGTGTTGGGAATATTTTCAAATTGGAATATTTTCAAAAATAAATATGCTGGATCCAAAATTTTTGCAAATATACAATTTTTAGGGATCCCTATTCATAATCCATTTAGATATTTGGGCACTTGACATTTTTTCTTAAAAACACAGAGGTTTTAAAAAAGTAGCAAAAGTGCTCGTATTACCCTGACCCCTTGGTAATATGAGCACTTTAAATTAGGTCCAAAAAATAGCATTAATTAAGTAAAAAAAGACCAACCTGCTTAATAGAACTAATTGTTGGAATATAAGGATTCGTGATTAACAAAACATATCATTAAAAGATCAAATTTTAAGCTACATTTTGTTGAAACAATACTACTATGTTTTCCGCCAAAAAAAAATTAAAAATTAATACATTGTTTTTTCAAATTTGTTAACTCAAACCTTTAAACAATAAAAATTAAAATTTTTTAGATTTAAGTTACAGAAAAATATTTAGTATTGTTAATACATTAAAATTGTTTACTATGTTTTGTTTTTATTCAAGAAGCAATTAAAAACCACTGCTTTTTTAGGACTTTAAACTAAGCAATTTCAATGAAAAGCACTGGGTAATTTGAGCATGCTCATATTACACAAAAATGGTATCTTTAAATAAAGTCAAAAATAAATGTTTCTATGCATTATTTTTCAAACAAAAATGAATTGGATTTTTAGCTAATATATTTTTCTTTATAAAAAAAATTAATCTTATTATTTTAGCACCAAAATATCGCGCCACAGAATTATTCACGCGTGATGATTTTTTTTAACAAAGCAAAAAATTTAAAAGCGTTTTAATTAGATGATATCCGCTAATTACTGCGTATAAATTTACGCTAATTGTACTGATTCCTGTTATCACCACATAAAGTCGATTCAAAAAACATAAAGTAACTTTAACTTCACTGCTTACATCTAATAAATCTTTAAGTTTTACCAAGGTGCTCATATCCTAATCTACCCTATATATATATATGTATATATATATATATATATATATATATATATATATATATATATATATATATATATATATATATATATATATATATATATATATATATATATATATATATATATATAT